TGCCATGTCCAGCCTGCACCGAGCACCTCCACCAGCCCAAAGTCCAGCCTGGGCTCCCTCTTTCCCTGCCCGTGGGAATCAGCAGACCCCAAAAGCCCTCATGGAGCTCCTCCCCGTGCCAAGGGGAGCCCTGTCCCACCCTGCCCCGTGTGTCACCCCCGGCTGTCCCACCTCACCCCACCCCGCAGCCCTTCCCGTGGCCAGGAGATGGTACTGTTGGCCTGGCGCTGCTTCTCCCGCGGCTCCAGAGCCTCGTGCCCGGCTCCTCGCACCCTTTTCCACCCGAGGAGTTCCCTGGATGCTCTGACAGCTCTCGGGTTTCGTTCCAAAGTGGCTGCTCCATGCCTGGAAATGTCCAAGGACAGAATTTGGAGCCACCTGGGACAGTGGGAGGTGACCYTGCCCRTGCAGGGGGAGGCACTGGAGGAGTTTCAGGCCCATCCCAAACCCAACCACTCTATGATCCCAAAGAATAATCATGATTCCAGCATGCAGAGGAGGTCCCAGACCTTGGAGACCCCACAGCCCCCTGCCCCATAGCAGRGCCTGTCCCCAGTGGGGGACAGTTCTGGATGGAAACCTTGGTCCCACGTGTGGTCCTGGGGACAATGTTCACCCCTGGACACACCACTGGGGTGGCTGTCCCTGTTCATGTCCATGTCCCTGTCCCTGTCCCCACCAAGGACAGCAAAGCCTTCCCTTAAAATCCCAGATCAGGAAATGAAATGAAAAATATTTAATGAGGCACTGAAATATTTAACAAAAGAGATTTTAACCGCAAAATTGAGCCTTGGAACACCAGAACAACCCCAAATATGGGTTAMCCCGATTTGGGCTCAGCTGAGCTGTCCGTGAGTCCTCTCCCACCTCCCAAATCCCCAGGGACGATGGGACGGACACAATGTCATTCCAGGGGAACCGAGAGATTGTGTGTCCCCCAGGAATTTGGGGTTTGCAGAGGTTGGGGAAGGGCGGCAGAACAGGATCAGCGCGTTCCCCCGGTGCCTGCGGTGCCGTGTGTGACACCCGGCATGTCCTGCCGGGCTGGAGGCGCCACGGGAGCCGGACGGATGGGGCAGCACCGGCCTGGGCTGGGCAGGGGGCTCGGACCATGGGGGGTCCTGGGGCTGGGCAGGGGGCTCGGACCATGGAGGATCCTGGGGCTGGGCAGGGGGCTCGGACCATGGAGGATCCTGGGGATGGGCAGGGGGCTCGGACCATGGGGGATCCCGGGGTTGGGCAGGGGGCTCGGCATGGAGAGTCCTGGGTCCATGGACCCTCTGGGTCCATCCCCATCCCTCAGCAGATCGCTCCTCAAATCTTAGATTTAAAAAAATTTCACCAAATTTTGGTAAATCTCATCGAACCTCACCAAATTTTGGTGAATCTCACCCAACCTCACTAAATCTCACCAAATTTTGGTGAATCTCACCCAATCTCACTAAATCTCATCCAAATTTTCTCCCAATCTCAGTAAATCTCACCAAATTTTCTCCCAATCTCAGTAAATATCACCAAATTTTGGTGAATCTCACCAAATCTCAAGGAATCTCAGTAAATCTCATCAAATTTCATTGAATCCCACCAAATCTCACCAATTTGGAGATAAATTTTGGTGGATCGCACCAATCTCAAGGAATCTCAGTAAATCTCACCAAATCTTGGTGAATCTCTCCAAATCTCACCAAATTTCTGTGAATCTCACCAAATCTCAATAAATCTCACAGAATCTCAAGGAATCTCAGTAAATCTCAACAAATTTCAGTGAATCCCACCAAATCTCACCAATTTGGAGACAAATTTTGGTGGATCTCCCCAAATCTTAAGGAATCTCCCTGAATCTCAAGGAATCCCAGTAAATCTCACCAAATCTTGGTGAATCTCTCCAAATTTCACCAAATTTCTGTGAATATCACCAAATCTCACAGAATCTCACCAAATCTCACCGAATCTCACCAAATCCCAGTGTCTCTCACCAAATCTCAGTGTCTCTCACCAAGAGAGCCAATAAAATAGTGTATAAATGAAATAGAATAAAAATATAAAAAAAATATAATAGTAATAATAAATTATTCTTAGATGAAAGGGAAGACAATCAAAAAGCCTAAATAAATAAATAAATAAATGAAATTAATTTAAAAATCAAATCAATTATAAAATGAAATAAGGCTGAAACAAAATTGTTATAAAAAGTGTAGTAAAATGATACATAGGTAGAAAATAAAAATTAAAGCAAAAATAAATTCAAGAAATAGAATGAAAGTAAACTTAAAAAGAAGAATAAAAGAAAATGAAATAAATAAGGCAAAATAAAATAAAGGGAAAACAAGAATAAAAGTACTGTAAAGTAAAATAAAATAAGTTAGAATAAAAAAATTAGGAATATTATAAAAATAAATAATGATAAATTATAAAATAAAATTTTAAAAATGGAAATAAATGAGATTAAAATAAAAATAAATATATAATTAAAATTTTTAAATATAATAAAAGAGATTAAAAA